GGAATTGGAATAGAGTGAGGTATTGGGGAAAATTGGTTGGTCTCCCAGCTTGTGGGGTGTTTACTGAAGCCAGTAGCTGACATGACATATGAGACATGCTTGTCCTCCCTTCGACAGATAAGGTTATTTGCTTGTTTCCAAGCTTTTGGGATGCTTACTGAAACCAGTAGTTGACATATTCGTGCTCGTCTCCCCTTTGACAAATTAGAGAATCGTTGTTTGTTTTCAAGGTTTGAAGGCTGAACAACTGAAAGCAGTATAGTTGACATATGTATGCTCTTTATTTGTTCTGACAAATTCAAACAACTTTGCTGATCTCCAAGTTTTTGGACCACATACTGAAACCAGTAGTTGACATGACATATTTTGCTTGTCCTCCCCTCCACAATCTCCAAACTTTGGGGCACATACTGAAACCAATTGTTGACATATTTTTGCTCATTCTCCCTTGACCCGATTATTGTTATCCAAGCTTTTGGGGCACATACTGAAACCAGTCGTTGACATATGTATACTCGTCCCCGAATCCAAGTATCCATCAAAACCAATAGAAACACGTCGCGCCCATTCGCGTTGACTCCCTGCTGGCCTCTTTGGTCGTCGGCAAGATGAAAAGAATCCTCAGGTTGCTTTGTCATCGAATTCGAAGGAAACTCCTGACACATCCATTGGAAACACCAAGTAGAAGACTGCAAGGGGCCTCTCTTCACAAGCCCCTGGCGATCTTTTTTGGAGTCTCCATTCACCTCTAGTTACTAGGGTATCAAAAGAACCAGAACAAGTTGAATGGAACAAGTCCTCAAAAGACTCTTTTGGATTGGACACTTGGACGTGACGATGTGAGTCTCGTGTCTTTCTATGTCTTTCCTTTTGCGGGACAACGGCCTTCTCTTCGGCAAAGTCTCAGAGCTGCCTTCTTGATTGTGCTCTGCTGCATTGACAGGTCATTTCAACCAAATACTCCAAGTAGAAAAGAAAAACCATGACATGCTAGTCTTTCAATCTTTCAAGCATGGACGCCATCATCCGGGCATGTTTGGCTGCTGAAATAAGACCCATTTTCACCAAGCTAGAATGGTTTGAACCTGATAAGCCACCAATTGCAATTGTTCGGTAAAGACTGCAAAACCGCATTTGGAAGCGTTGCAAGGGCTTAAGTTGGCAGTGGGTTCCTGCGTCTTCTTCACCCCAGTGAATCCCACAATGGTATTTATGTTGGAATTACCAAACAGTCGTGGCCCAATTCGTGGGTTCGTGTTTTCCTAACGCCCAGATATTTGTGCGACAATGCGTTGGGAATTGATTGATCTGATGAGAAATGAACTCAAAACACTCAAATGAACTGTCAATCTTCCAGCTGGCCGAAGTCATATTCTACCTCTTCCTGGCTCTGTGTTTCAAACTATGAGCCTGAGAGGCATAAGCTGGGGAAGTGTAAGCAAGGCATCTGTTTGGGCCAAAAAATCTTGCACGGCCTTGCATAGCCTCGCCATACCAGGCCAGCGCAAGTCCTTAGTTTCCTGGCCTTGTGGGCCCCGGCATCTCTGTAAGGGCCCCCCCCCCTCCGTATTTCCCCATCGATCCGCGCCAAAAGGCTGTTGCTTCTCATTCACCACCTGGCACGGCGCAGTGAGGGTTCATTGAGTTTCAAGCACCCAAACACTCCATGGGACTGGCATACTTACATACATGAACCCCTTTTCAAGCACTCCATGTATGTAAATATGCCAGTAAAGGATTTATATATATATAACTATATTTATATATATATATATACATAGTAATGACTAACATTTTAAACCAAAAACATATATCCTGGAAAAGACATACTCAAAAAGCATGGTTTGTTCATAGCAGAAGTCCTCGAATTGATAGACACCTTCCCTTTGAATCTCTTTTGATAGTTTTAATGCAGGTTGGGGTGGGGGGGGGCTCACTATGGTTCACTTGGAACCATCGCGAATCCGTGGATCAGTCGACTGCAACGAGGCTCGTCGGTTCGTCCGCCGCATCGCTTGGGATCTTCGTTTCCTCCCCGCATCGTGCGTTCACGACAAATCACATCAACCGGGAACTTTGTTTAATGTACACTTCTGCACATTTTTTTTACACTTGGAAGCCAGGAACTAAGAAGGAACCTTGTTTGATGCTCTGCTTCTACGTACGTGGGCGGAAGAGTTGAACAAAGAAAGAACTTTCACATGGCTTTCAATCTATTTCGCTGGTGAAAACGCACGACTTCCTTTCCTACTCCTTCCTGAATGCGTTGGTGATCCAGCCGGATCACCAGGGATCGCAGGTGATCCAGCTGATCCCGAGCGATCGCAGGGGGATCCATAGATGAAGCCAAGGGGATCTGCACAAGTGTACTTGGACTTGCTTAAGGAAGCTGGACAAAAAATATCAACACCTTCCCCAGAAAGGGGATAGGGACACCTAGCAAAAAGAATAGATAAATCACCTGACCCCAAGTGCACCAGAAAGGACTTGTCTCTTCCAGTCCGTCCTCAGCTTCGGTTCCCGAACTGGACTGGAAGAATCCTCCTTGAGGAGCTCATCTCCAAGATCAGATCACACGTGTCAAAACACGTGCTTTTGGTTCATTTAAAAACACCCGGTGACAAAAACACATATGACGCGGCGCGACGGTTCTTCGGTGTTTAGAACCAAACATAGCAACCCAAAACAGCCCACCGCGCGCCGTGATGGAGGCGAGCATGACGATGATGAAGATCAGCAAACCCAAGCAAATGGCTGCACATCCCCTGCACGACCGGTCAACCCTGTGTCCGCAGCTCTCTCTTCGGCTTGGACGATCGACCAAGCAGCTTTCTTGTTCTTTTGAACGGCACCTACGAGGGTCCCACATCAACCTTTTCATTGAAGAATCACCTGATTCCTGGTGAATCCGGAATCATTAGCATATGGCATGCATATGGCATAGGTCCTATATATATATAATATATATATATATATGAAATTATATGAATATGATTCACATAGGATGTCCCAAGATGCTCAATTGGAGAGTCAGTGAGTAGCAGAATTTAGATCGATAATGATCGACGGGTATTTCTGATGTGGGGCGGTAACTAACAAACATATGTCAGTCAGTGCAGGGGATGGTGTGATTATCATTCAATCAAGTCCATTCCTTTCGTCATAGTCCTAAAATGTCCTAAACTCTGCCATCCTAGAACTTCCATTTGCCTCTTCAAGACTTTCCTCCAGTCTACGCGACCACATAACTGTCATACGAAGAAGAACGACTCTGGACAATGCCACACTAAAATATGCAGTAGACTACGTGAAGCTGGGCAGCATACGACTTGGGCAAACGATCCAGCACTAATCCAGCAATTACGTAACCTCACCTTCAAGACCCACATTAGGGTGCACTCCTTAGAAGCGTGGGGAACGACACAAGCTAACCACGACCTTCACGACGTGCTTCTGGTGTTCAACCTGCTTAGCTGCCTTACCCAATAGGTCAAGCACGCACCATCGAGGCGGTCTCACCTCGCCTCACCGGTCGCCGTCACCCCGTCACCCGGTCTCCGGGTCTCCCGGCCCTCCAACGAGTGTGAAGGCCAAATTATCCCCCATGGTCGATCCCGCTCCGTTGTCCCGTTTGGACGGTGCTTGGACCCGGGGAGCTGCGGAAAGGAGGAACATTGAGCTCAGCAGCTTCGCTCAGCAGGAGCTTCGGCCAGTCTGGCCCTAGGGGTTCGAGACGAGATTCGTGAACAAGAAGTGTTGGCAAACACCGTAAAGGAAACCACGACACTAACTATGACTATTCACAGTGTTGGTGCAGGATGTTTTCCATCAACAGCTGTTTCCCGATTCCAAGTTGCCAAATGGATCCATAGTCGGATACAGTGTTGTCACAAGGTCTGCTATGCTCACGGCAGCTCTGCCAAGCCTGCTAGTTCGGTACAGGGAAACTCCTTGGCTAGTGAAGTCAAAACTCATATCGCCCACTACACACGGTGCTAGCTGCTAGCCAGATCCAAGTCTGGAAGATCTTGAGTTCCACCCTTGATCCTACCAGGCGGGAGTGTTACAGTATGTTACACGTGTCACGTCCGTTTAAAGTAGACAACCCCCATGAGCACACCCCATCAGAGTAAAGTCAACATATTTGTCAAGAGTCACACGGAAAATTCCCAAACTCCATGGGTGCACGCTTCGCAAGTTGTTGGATGCACTGTGTTTGGAATAAGAACTGTGCGCACCCTCTGTGGTACATGACGACACACAATGGCACAGTAGCAATGTTTGACCCGCCTTTCCGTTGGAAGTTTTTGTTCCTTTATATCGTCGGCAACCACACGGAACTTGCTGTACCCCGGGTTGTGCACTTGTGGGGGTTTACTCCAAAAGGTTAGCTATCGACGGAAGTTTTTTGTATGTTTCCAATGTTTCCTGCAGAAACATGCAAACACATACCTCAAAATCCAAGGTGTGTATGTATGCTGGGGATCCTACTAATGCTTAGATATGAACGAATGCTTCCACAGTCGGATCATCCTATCGTAGATTGGACGAATCCTATTCAGTTGTGAGACATACACATCCGCATTAGCCAAATGGTCAACTTGGGTGCTACTGACATGTAACCAAAGAGCACTTGGATAGCCCAGGGGATTTGCGAAAAGCAGTTTGGGCTCCGAAGCCCGCCCGGCCTGCCCTGTTTCAATTCTATTGTTAGACCACCAAACCAAACCAATGCCGGTCAATGCATGACGCCATCGTCTCAACAACTGAACTTTCCTCGTCGTCTGGAGATGTCTGCACACCCGTTGCGAAGATGTAGTGGGAACATGTCTGGAGTCGGTTCCGAATCCATGACACCCATTCCATTCGTCGCCTTTTCTCACAAATGAGTCGAGTCATGTCGGACTGCAAGGATGGGAGGAACAAAACACGATGTCGAGGTCCGCAAACACAATGGACATGTAGTTCATTCTTGGTAAACATGTAACAAACTCGCAATAGGGCACTTGTGCTGTCCAACTCTAAGAGTAAACGAAAGCTGATGAAGCCTCGGGTGTGGAAATTTCACACATTTTTCGTGACCACACCAAAAAATATGATGTAAAAAGTCTACGTGTTTCTGTTCAGACATATTTTGATTGCTGTCATGGTTTGAGTGTCGCGGTTTGGTCCCATTTCCACACCGACCTGGCCGCCGACCTTTCAGCGTGAGGCGAGGCCAGACCGACCTGGCCGCCTGGTCGCATCCGCCGGAGATCGAAGAAGACAGGAGTGTGTTCTTCCATAGGGTTGAAATGGCGCTAAAGAGGATTTGGACCATGTGGATCCATGTGGTCTAGGGTTGGGGCCTTCTCCAAATTTTCCAAAAAGAGCGCCTGGTGACGCGGGGTGACTACATGCCCTGTGCCAGTGAGTTGACGGCCTCGGTCGTTTGGAGCTTTATCAAACAAGATAAACAAGCGGAACTGGAGCTGAGTCGAGGTATGCTGAGTTGAGGTTGTGCCTGATCGAAAAGCAGGCCATAGGCGATAGAGAAGCTAACAAAGACGGTTCACAATGTTCACGCCCACCAGCAGCAGAATGTCACCATTGAAAGCCACCTTCCCGCCACCTTTCTCCCCATTGAACGTTGTATTAAAAAGTCACACCTAAGTCACGCCTGGGTAGTGAATCCCACAGTAGACGCAATACCCAACACAACAACAAATGAATGCACTGCCAGGCATATTGCACTTAAGATATGTTTGACCTAGCGGAAGTCTCGCCGCCCATTCCCATGTCACACACGCTGTAAACGCAGCACTGAAACAAACTTTGTCTGAAACACGACTTTGTGTCAGACCAGTGTTGTCATGCCCGTCGTCCAATGTTTTTACAAGTGTAGGTCCCATTAAGGGTGATGAGAAAGAAAGCTGGATTAAAAACACTGGCCAAAACATCAAGTCTTTCGTGTCATCACCCTCTTGAGCCCTGGAAGACCTGAAAAAGAAAGAAGACACACAACACTGGGAACACCCAGCCCCTCACGGGGCATCCCCTCTTGGTTGCTGAATCTGAATGGTACCAATAGAGGTGCTAGAAGCAGCACTGATGCAGCTCTTAGCCTGACTAGTCTTTGGACAATTCACGGGAGCCAAAATTGTTTAGTTTCCCTGGACAAATTCAAGCTGCTCTCAGTTTCACCAACATGGAATCTGAAAACTGCCTGTTTTGAACATCATGCCACACAGAAACACATGAGATGTGTTTGGAGGCCCTGCTCTCTTGCCGACAGCCTCCTTCTCAGAATCCGTCTTTTTTCTCGGGAAACCTTTGCTCACATATATATATATATAATAAATCCCCGTGTTCAAGAATCTTCAATAATGCTTCTTTGCTAGTAGGTTGGAGCCCATCGCTAGGACCGCTAGGAACAAAGAAAAAGAAAAGGAACGATGGATTCATGAGATTTCATGAGTATGTTCAAGAATTCATGTGCCACATCAATCGTCTGGGTGCGGCCTGGTGAGGCCTTTTTTTCGAGTCTCCAGCTTCTGGGCCCTCCCGGCCGAGAATCTCTTCAATCCAACGTTCGGATCTGGGCCGGGTGACTCCGTGGACGACCCCATTCTCGAGTGGAGGAGACTTAGTCTACTGAAAGGGATCAGAGTAGATTAGATTACACATATCATCATATATCGGATATTGGAGACTTCTAGGGATATTAGTGGAGTAATTATGTAGCTAACTAGTTAGGGCCAAGGCTCTCGATCTGTGTACGGGCTGAAGTCCCAATGGCGTCCACATGAGCGGAGTTGATTTGTTTTGTTTTTCAATACGTTTTAGTGATTGTTCTAGTACAACAACCTTTATCGTCTAGTACAACAACTTCTATCGTCATGATTGCATGACCTTGTTGGCTCTTATGGTGGCATCTTAATGAATAAGACTAAACCTGGGGTGGACTTCTCGGTTGCAAGCAACATCTGCTGCTGAGGCAACTTCAATTTTTGTTTTATGTTGGTTCATACAGTTCATACCTGTGATTCATCCCTCACAGACTCACAATGGCCGGGGAAAAAATCAAGCAAACTCTGGATGTTCAGTTCTTTCCACCTGGACTCTTCCTCGGCTGCACCACTTCTCAACAACCCTGCAACCCATAAGTATTTAAATTGAATCTGTCGACCACAACCCGTGGCCCACCCTGCCAAAGTTCTCCCAGGATCAAGACCGCACTCTGGAGACGCACATGATTGAACTATGCGGGATGGGTGGATGTATTCATTGGATGCCTTTCTAACCCCTCCTACCACCCCTCGAATTACCAGCCAAGCTTCTGATCCAAGCGAACATTACCAGTACATTTCAATTTTTTCTCTCCTTTTGTGTAAACGATATGGTGCCCCCAGAAGATTCAGAAAAACAAAAACGGTATATTATTGTATATGAAATGGTTCAACAATGTTCAACAATGTTCAACATAGTCCCCTGATTTGTCTGGCCAACTTGGCTCCCGCACGGTCTCTACGCTCGAGGATGCCTAAAAAGTGGGCTGATGGCGTGAGGGAAGCCCAAGCAGGCCATATTCCTAATGGTGAGTAGTCTCCACTACAGTGGTCCCCCAAATAGATAGAAGCGGCTTCCAATACATGTGTAGTGAGGACTCACTGTTCTATCTATATATTTGAGGGTCTGTACAGTCGGGTCTTACTTTATAAGAACAGCGTTGTGCATCTTTTGGGGGGGTCACAGAGTCACTTTAAAGAAGGTTGGGTGACTTAGATGTATTTAGAACATAGCTAAAGTCGTGGTCCCACCTGTCGGGTGAGGGTTGTTAGATTTTACGTCAGCTCGTGCCCTCCTCCTCCTGCTCCTCCTCGTCCTTCTCGTCCTAGTTCCGCTTGGCATTGTTCCCCGCCGGACCTCAACTGCACGCTCCGGCTGGCAGTGTTCCCTGCCAGACGTCAACCGCGAGTTCCGCTTGGCAGTGTTCCCCGCCACACCTCAACCGCGAGCTTCGGTTGGCTGTGTTCCCCGCCGCACCTCAACCGCGAGTTCCGGCAGCGGCCCCCCCGGACCTCAAACGCCAGCTCTTTGTGGATTACTGTGTTCTCTGTGACTGTCTTTTTGGGGTGATCGCTCGAAGTGGATCTGCTTGCAGAATGTTTATCACATCTGGCAATTGTGATTCTTTGCGCAAGCAGCTGCTTCTAAACAGGCTTGGGAGACACAGGAAATGTCACACAACTAGTATGCACACCACACAGCAAGCGCGTGCGCGTGTTGGCCTAGGCAAGTAGCATATGTGAGTTTTGGCAATGAGATCCAGCCGGGATGTTTCACGATACCAACATCATGCTACAGAAAAAGCAAGTGCGGCCTGGTTACGCGCGTTACTTTCGTGTTCTAGTGGATTGAAGTGTCATGGTGGGGACCTCTCGAAGTGAAATAGTTTTCTTTCTAGTTGATTGTCGTCTAATTTTCTCACCAGAAGCCGCCTCTAGTTTGTGCACAACTGACACCCTCAGTTGAGCACTCCCTGCGTCACATGGCTTCAAAAGGATATCACTCACTTTCTCTTCTGTTGGCACTCATCCTATGTCCAATCTGTTTTTGTTGAAACAGCATCTTGCCAGAGAATTGTGTCATATGTCATATTTCTACTTCTCCAACCCTAACCTCGAAGAGAAAGATCTTGATGAATTGCTGTCTCTGTCGTAATTCACAAGAAACAGTCACCTCATTCGAAGGAGGTGTATTTTAGACCATGAGCCGCTCCATGACAAAGAGCGTGTTACTCAGTTTTCAGCCACGTTCAATCCAACAGATTATTTAAGACGTTCAAAGCCTTTGCGCCAGACAAGTTTGTACCGTTTTTTCTGGAAACCTTGCGACCAGCGAAATACGCGAAAGCAGAACACTGACACAGGCAAATGATTCGGCACAGCCTGCTGCCTGAAAACCACTGCTAAGCTTCCCAACCCTCGCAACAACCTCTATGGCAACACTATGTCTGCACCATTTGGGAAGCACTTTGCAGACTCCTCGCGTTGCATTGGCCTTCCCGAGCTGGAAACTCCTCTTGCTGCAAATCTCCCGAAGCTTTCCGCTCAATGGAGCTCCATGATGCTCAATGTAAATATAACTCTAAGATTGGGGCAGCAAATGAGACCGAGAAAGCATTTTCCATTTCTAGGTCCGAACCTCTTTGGTGGGCCCATCACTGACAAAGAAAAACACCTTGATCAACTCCCACTTGCAGCTGAGCCTGCCCCCTCCCAGGAATGACCCATGCTGCTCAGAGCTCCTCCACCGAACCTGTACATTGCACACAGAAATTGTGATTCCCTCTCTGTAGATGGAAGATTCCTGCTCGCGCCGTCTGCGTGTTCCTTGACAAGCTCATTGAAAGCCTTGGGAACCTCTTCGCACAA